ATTTTTACATTTTTGGAGCTTATATGCAACAAAAATAACGTAAAAAATTAAAAAAAACGTAAACGTAATTATAATTAGCCCTACGTGAGTGACGCCGTCATTCAACAAACAACCCCTTCAATACAAGGCATAGCCTCTAAAATTAGTAGCAAACGCCGAGATTGCAGATCTCAAAAGCCAAGTACAAAGACCCTTATCCCTACGTAGGCAGCGTCGCCATAGACAACAGGCGTTTCGCGCTCATTTGACAGGCAAGAGAAATCTAGGAGGCTAAGGTCATAGCCAAAATGCGAAGATTAAGAAAATTTAATTGAGACAACGTTTCCCAAAATATCGAAAATACATTTTCAATTTTTTTTTTTACGTGACGCGTTCACATTTCGGCGTGATTTTAAAAAATGACACCTAAAGCTTGGTTTTCTCCGCTAATAATGAACCTATGATAGTGAAACATGTGCCAATAGAGTTTTCAAAATGCAGTGTGTCACTTAGACGAAGTCGTTTTTCCCTTTATTGTCACTTTAGGGAGAGAATGACGTCAGTAGCGCAACCAGCGCGGACAATTTTGCGTGACTTATTTAACATCACCCGCCGCCTAAGGAGCGGGGCACGACTGCCTTGCTAACCGGGGGTCCATGGAAGGCAGTGCGTAGGTGCGTTCCACAACAGCGGACGCGAGATGACGCGCACTACTGTAGCGCCACGGTTGGTCACCGCGAAACCTGTCGTGTCGCCACCGTCGTTCAGTTCAAACTGCATGGTCCATATTATCAACTGGAGGAGAGACTGTCACTGTGAGCGTTCAACGACCATGGTAATTTGGGGTTGTACACGGATTTGTCTAGTTTTTGTACTTGCGGGCGGCAAATCTGGATTGTGGCTTCAATTATCGCTGTGTTCCGGTTTCGTTTAGAAGGAAAGAACGAACCCTTCTGAACTTTGTGACCCGATTAGAAATCGTGAGGCTATAAGTTTAAGATGTTGAAGCGCAACCACTGCACATTCCTTGATTTTTGTTTTGTGACTGAACAGCTCCAAGCCACACGAACACACGCGGAGCCAGAAGTACGAAGATCAGACAAATCCGGGTACTACCCATCATTTCCATGCTCGCTGAAGTGCGATGTGTTGCAGCTCTCACAAACACTAGCGCCAGAGTTCCCTTTAGTGGATATATAGAAAACTTCATCATCAGTCCTCCCGTCTCTCTCTACACTCTCACCATCTTTCATTCTGCCCTCCGCGCACTCTCTCTCTCGTTCGCTCTATCAATTACGTTGAGGCCCCTCAACCAGGTGCTGGAGAGCTGCGCTCCAAAGCAGGTAGACAGGCGTGCACATTGCCTTTTTCTGGCGAACTTGTGCTACGCATGGACAGGTGTAACTGCGACCCTCGTAGGTAGTTGAAACATACGTTTCATTGTCTCTCAAAGACCCGACCGAGAACCAGTACTAGCAAGATCAGCTCTGCTACTGCAGCTGCTTGCTACCACCTGCAGCTGCTTTCTTCAAAAAGGCACAGAATACAGTGGTGAGTTGAAACATTGGCCTCTATAGGCCTTGTCCTAGACGGCTCCCTCGGCGCCTCTATTGTGCGGGCTTTGCAAAATAGGCGTGACACCCGCCAGAATTCCCTGTAAATGTTGTGACGTCAGCATTTATGCTCCCCTGCCCTAGCCCAGCACGGCAGCGTTTTTTTTTTTCGCTGCCGTGACAAAGGCACGTGCGTTTACATCTTAATACCTATTGTGATGACCATTTGGGTTTGAAAACTATGCGGTTTGTAACAAACGTGTTGGCGTAGACGCTGCAAATTTTATTGTCATTTCATCTTCACGGGATTCTGAAGACATGACGATTGCTTCAGGCGATTGTATCAGTTAACCGAGAGTCATATGTGGGGCTAATATTAGAATATGCATGTCCCGTGCCATGAAAAGTTGTCAGTTAACTCCCGTAGTTCCGTTACGGAGAGCGCCCTTGTATGTAGACAAAATACTGCAAAAAGTTGTTTCTCGCTTTGTAGGTGCCCGGAAAAATGTCAAAAAAAAAACGCACGAAAGAACCAAGAAATGCTACTTTCACGTATTTCACTCGAAATAATTTACTATGATAATCGACGAGAGTGTTTTGGCGCCACCAGACATACATAGCTAAAGTCCTTATACATGGCCTGGTAGCGGAAAGGTATAAGATCCAAAAGACTGCTATATCAAATGACAAAACAACAACAATAACTGTTTCGTTCGAAGGATTGCACGTGGCTCCGCATGCCTGCATCTACTTAGTTGTAATGCAATTTCGTGTTAGTGACGGTGATTGCGGACATGCCAGAATGTGCTCAGATGCACGCCTCGAGCACGTGACCTGACCAGAACACGCGGAGACATTACGAGCTGTTCAATAACATAATGGCGGTGTCTGTACCGAGAGATAACAATTCAAATTGTTTAGAACGGAAGCGCCTGATTGTGTTGCCACAACAAAAAGCAGAAAGAAAAAGCTGTGAAACGCGTGATCATAAACTATGCCGTTCGGTAACGACTGCTATAAATAATCACTGTACGAACGTCCACAGGACTTGTCTCGTGTTTCTTTACCCAAATTGAGAGTCCCAACTTGATCCTGCTGAATTATCACTGTATCATATAATCCACTTCTTACTTGGCCCAAAATTTTGCTAATGCAAAGTACGTTACGTAAGACGAAGGTTTGTATCAATTGACGATAGAAGTAAGCAATTGTGAAGATTTAAGCGCAAAGTTCTGTGTCCGAGCACACATCCATGCGTTACACTCTGGAAACTGTTGCTATTGGCGTATTTTATTTTAAGTCCAGAAAAGACTCTCTGAAGAAAAAAAAAAGCCTACTTGTCTGTTTTTCAGTGTTAAACAAAGAACAACAGACAGCTGTTCCAGTTCCAACGGGCAGTTGCATGTCGCAATGCTTTTATAGCAAGGTAACATGGGGAGTTAACGCGGTGGTCTATAACAATTTTTTTTATTCGGCTACATCTGCTTGTAACCAGTCCGTTAGAACAGGTTACAAGCAGTCCTGTAACCAGTTACAAAAAGTGTAACCAGTCCGGTAGATATTTTGAGAGTAAGCTAGCGTTCTTGACGCACCAATACAATCGTTTAGTTTTTACGATATCGCTCACGGATAAAATGTAGTGCGCAGTTTCAGAGTTTAGAGAAAATATTTCAAATGATTTTCCTTGCTGACATTCACAAAAAATTGCGAACTTTGACAAAAGTGATTGTTACAACACGTGTGGGGTACAGTTGAGCATATTGTGATTGAGAAAAAAATAGTGTTATGCACAAAAACATTTTTGGCATAAGAAAGACTCGGCTCTTAAAGAACTGCGTAAACGGGGGATTCTTAGCAGAGGTCCTCGAGATCGATTAGCGATTAAATACACTTACAGGGTCGATGATTAGCATATACTATACCATACGATGTTTTATGACAGATATGCTTCTTTCAAATACTTTAAATACTAAGATTAGGATAGCTGACTCGATCTTGGTCTAGTCTTTCGCCTATTCATATACCTAGCTAAAAATGGATGGCTGAACAGCTAATATGTTGATCAAAATTAAGGATATCTACAATGAAAGGTCCGATGACTTTGCTTTTGTTTGTAAATATGATGCTAAGGAGATGACTATTTCCCTTTATTTGGTGAGGGAGGTGAAAATGGCGAATTAAATCTAGGTTGAATTTCCTCGGAGTTGAAATGCTGTCAGTGGTCGTTAAACGACACACGGTGACCGGAATATCCGGAATGCCTTCACTAATGGCATGTCTCATAATCATATCGTAGTTCGGACTCACAAAGACCCAGGTGTCACTGTAATATTAGATACGCATTGTACTACGATGTAGCCCGCTGGCTAAGGAGGACACATGCGCAGCATGTCGCTGTATGCGTATCCCAAACAATCGCAATTATGTGAAGATAGAATAAGCGAGGTCAAGCCGGAGGCCTTGTAATGCAATCTATGTGGATCGGCGCGTAGACGAGAGCAAAACAATGCAACGTGTAATGCATTCAAAATGTGAAGCAGAGCATATGCATACGATTAAGTGGTCATAGAAGAAGCGGCTGGAAATAGTCGCCAAGAGACATACAGTACTGTAATAAAATATTGGTATTCCAATAACGTTGCTAGATATATCGCATACACTATTCTGAATTGAATAATCCAACTTTTTCGGTTGCTATCTATAACTTACGTCAAGATTTGAAAGTGATGTTCATGCGCTCTAGTAAGTTTCGAGACGTCGATAGTTAGAGTCAATTGCTTATTATTTCCAACCTAAAGTTATCTCAGACTTAAATTGAACTTCAGACAATACTGTTTGCGTAAGTCTATATTCGGGCCTGTGTGAAAACAAAATGTCTTTGACTGTTGACGACCACTATCAACCTCTTCGCTTGTTTTGACGTATGACTGCGAATACGCTGCACTGATAGTATTTGTCCAAACAATTTCGGAAAACTGCAACTTGTTCAGAATCGTCATTTCCGATCATTTTTCGATGAAATAAGAATACTATTTATCTGCGATGTCAGTTTTGCTACGCCCAAAATTTTAATAACCTCAACAGCCATTTTTGTAGAAAGTGCGAGTTTGCATGCACTCTTCCAGGCTGGACGTTAGAACGTAAAACTACGAACGTAGCGTGTATTAGCGCAGTACATAAAAAAAGGGACACGACACAGACGTAGAGATAGGCAGGCTGTGTCGTGTTCCTTTCTTTTATGTACTGCGCTTATACCCGCTCCGTTCATGGATGACCAACTCGTCCGATCAGCAACCCTTCTGTAAAACTACGCTTGTTATGGCAAAGCAGCTGTGGGGGCCCCGACAGCCACGGTGGCTACGACATTTGCTTATATTCTTGCCAACTCAGCGCTGAAATACCGAGAAAAGTATCAGCGCAGCCACTAGCAGCAGCAGCGGCCACAGCTGGGGCGCTCTGTAGGCTCACCTGTTGAAGCAGCGCCGAGTTCTTTGCGCCGCCGCCGCTGCGTTGAAACTTGCTGCCGCGGGCGCGCTCACGAAGGACTCCTAGGTCTCGCCGACGTCACATTCTAAGTGACTTCGGTGACTGCGTCGCGCTGCCTTGTAGACCGAGTCTTCAGCAGTTGCCGACCGACGAGTCAGGCTGGAAGGCATCAAGGAACGGGCTGGACCCCGGACCGAGTTGGAAACGATGTGCTTTCCGTCACAGTTCGCGTGCCGAATGAACAGCTCAAAGATATTCAACAGGAGACGATCGAGAAAGAAACAAATGAGGCCTAAGCCAGCACCACAGTTCGTTACACAGGGAGCTCTGCGGCTGAGGTGTCGAAGACAATCTTCTTGATGGTACGTGACGTGGTACGAGTTCAGCTGTAACTTTGCGCACCGATCGTCCTCGCCACGGAACTGCCGATCGCGTTGGCTTCACTTTCCCGGGGCTGCGCGAACAGCTCTCGCTCACACCGTTGCTACGGTCGCAACTAGCTCGGGGCCCGCCAGGCGCAGGAGCTCGAACTCCCCCTTCCGTAGCAGACGCTGTGGCCGGACGCAGGCAAGGCGAGGTGGGGAGAGCAAGCCCGAAGCCACACGGAGCGGAAGCGGTGGGGTGCGTGCGTGGGCGACGGCGGCGCAGTCTGGCGGCGGTTGCGAGCGGCGAAGGAGAACTACGATCTTCCGGTGAAGCCGAGCGAAGAGGGAACTTTCGAAACGCCGAGTGAGGCGAGCGAGGCATAACTCCAGCCACTGAATGCCGCCTGTTGGATGCTTCATTCCGCTGGTTCTCAGCCATCGATGCTTTGGGGTCACTTTTTGGACGGTGAAAGTAATAGCGAGATTTCTTGCAGGTAGGTAAAGCTGGTTTCGTAAATTAACGCAATATTCAACGTACCTTGTTGTTGTTTTGCTCCTAAGCATGGATTTCACGGCCACCCCGAAATAGCCTCGCTGAACCCGATTTTGAGAACCGGTCCTTTAAACATTTATGTAGTTTCGCATTCTATTAAGCACTCGGCTTCGTTTTCTAGTAAATTTGTAGCTAATTTTCATATTCATACCGTTTTCCAATTACACTGACACCAGACGGGTTCATCCTCGAATGTTCTGTAATGAAGACCTCTTTCACTGCCTCAAAGATGCCAAATAGGCACTTTGTATTCGCTCTAAGAAGACATTTTATCACATATGCTTTTTTTTTTTACTTTGAGCCTTTCCCGTATTTGCAAGACATAATAACTTGCTATAGTGTGCTCTGTAAGCTGACATTCTACCCCGACAGATTTCAAGGTTTGCACAGTTTGTGCGCACACGTGTTACGATAACATTATTATCTATTTCTTTTTGTTCGGTTATTCTGTGCTTGATCTGCGGGGCTGCGAAAGTTTTTCAACATAAGCTTTTAAAATGCCACTCTACAGAAAGGCATAAAACAAGTCCAGAAAATATTTATTCACAGTCCAGTTACGCAACATGAGTTGCTTTTATGCGCCCTATCACAGAAAACATATATGCATAACAATCGCATACAGATATTATAGCTAAGTTATAGGAACCTAAATTTCAGTGTTGTAGGGTCAGTGCTTCTTGCCTTCCAAAGGTGTCTTTGCGCTGCTGTTTAAGTGCCGCGGCTAAGGATGTGCACGCCACGCAAAACTCAATGTTCGCAAACAGTAAAGCAATAGCACTGCGTGGCAACTGCAGCGAAGATCGTGGTGTCATTCTGCCTAGTTGATTTTTTTCGATTCTAATTGACCTCACCTATACCGCACACACAATACTAAAGATTTCTGTACCAAGTTTTCTTGTATTATTTTGCGTCGTTACTGTACACTGACATTGTATTTGCTACTTAGATTCCCTAAATAACTAATAAGCAAGTGTGAAAACTCTTGTTTACATCGCCTCATGGCCTTCCGTGATGTTTCCTCTTCTAGATACTGCTGCAAATCCGCACATTCTGATAGCTCTTCTTCCACAAATAACTAGAATAAATAAGTTAACAGTTCCTTTCCTACTTCATATATCGTCATTAAAACCACATATGATTGCCTGAATAAATGTTATAAATACTTTTCTGAAAAATGATTTATCACACTTGTCTAGGCTAAAAATGAAAGGTGAAGCCAGTTCCACTTGACAAACAACGTCGAAACATGGAAGCTGATGACCGTTTTGTCAGGTTCACCCTCAGCAACATATGTGCGCCTCTCATTAGCTCACCCTTTATATCCTCACCCATCTTGCCACGGCGCAGCCATGACTCTCCAGTAGGTCCCGCTGTCATCACGCCACTAGACCTCATGACCAGCGCTACGCCAACGGACGGGAAAGCGTTAAATATTAATCTCACTGTTACAAAATGAGTTATAGCTTTGTGCTGCGCGCTCACCCACGGCATTGCTGGCTATCAGGTGTCTGTCCCTCACACCGTTCGTACTTTGCTTGTAGTCAGGAAGTTTGATTTGTCGGCAATGCAATTTTTTTCAAATTGGAATATAAGTTACGTCAGACAATACAATTTTGTTGAGTAATTACTACTTTGGACCGCTATTGAGCCGTCAATAGCTTCACTGAGAGTGACAGACTGGGAGATTTCTCGGCTACGAGTTGGGCCGTAGCGTAGCGTCTCATGAAACATTTTACTATGTGTTGTGGTCTTCATCAACGTTTTTTCGCAAGTATACCATATAGGGCTTTCGCAAAATGTTTGACTCAAGAAAAGATGAACAAGATGGCTTTCGCGTTGCAGTCGTCTTACACGAATGCGTAAGGAACCCTCTGACATTTTGCATAGGTCACTTCTCACTGCGATATCCTTTTCCCCTCGTCAGTTGGATGAAGACCCACAGTAACGAAAGTTCTCATTGAGTAAAAATCTGTGTTTCATGCAGTGCAGGAGAAGAACAGAAACAGTGGGCGCGCCAGGCTTTGAAAAGTTTAGCCACCGTGTCAAGAAAGAGCGACAGCACCAATTGCAGGCTGACCTTTTGGCAGTCAGCCATAAAAGCTTAGAAGTCAGAACTCTCCGATTTAACTTCGTTGAGAACCTAAGTGATGGAGTACCTACCATGGCTTGCTGGAATACCAGGAGGAAAACTGTTGCAACTTGTATAAAGTCTATGAAGAACGGCGTTAAAATGAGCCCTCTATCAAAACGCGAGACCTACAATTAAAAAAACCACAACAAGATTCCGTATGTAACCACATGGCCACACTTGAGAGCTTTCGAATAACTTACGCGAAGCTTGCGCGCGTTGTGGGCTAAGCGTTTGCGTTTGTCACTAAACGGGAGTCCGTAATAGGTTATGGAAAGAACGCCTACTCAATGCAGTCCCAAAGCTTCGCAGGGCGCTGTCCTAAATCTCGTCATTGAGTAAATTGCGTTAACTAGCAGACTGATTTTCTCATATTTTCTCAGAACTAGTCCAGATGCCGTTCCAGGAAAGCCCCACAACCCCGTCACGCCATTGGCTGTCGTGCCTGTTTGGGGTGGTGTGTGGTGTACGGTGTAGTCGTCAGGAGGGTAACACTCCCGGAAGAGCCTCCCGGATGCGCTGTAGAAAGCGGACGTTCATCCAATCTCAGAGATTTTTCGCGTGTGAGAATTCGGGAAATCCTAAACAACATTGGGCATATCCACAGCACATCAAATACTTGCACAAACGCTTTCGATGAAGGCCTTATAGAAGGAAAATTCAGCATAGCACTGAAATGCTGAAAGGATTGCAGGGAATCTCTGTCAATACAAAGCACACTGGCAGAACAGCGCCTTTGTTTTGATTGTCATGAGGCTGCGGGGTTCGTGGGTGGCCTAAAAGAAACTCATATTGATTGGTATGAACACGGTGTTTTTGCGTGACATGGCTGGAAGCATTCGGGATATTTCGCTATTGTTTGCCCCGGTACAAGGAAATGTTTATATATGTGTTTGTTTGAAGTGGTAGAAGGAAGGCACAATAAGTTTTTTGGGCAAAATGAAAGGCTAACCTTTATGATTACTGAGCGCCAGCTGCCGGAAGCTTGTGTTTAAAAATGGAAAACTATTGTTGTGCGTAAACACCTTGGAAGCCTACGGCTTATCAGGAATTGTATCCATCGTCCTGCCCGATTCGCTCAAAATCAGTAATACATATATTGCATTTTCAATGTTAATATTTTGATTTATTTATTTTAGGTGCCCGTAATGGGAATTACAAAAAAATAATTCGGGGAGGTATTAACAACTCATCTGGGATTCCGTAAACGTGTAATACAACACAAAAGAGGTAAATACATTATTTGAAATGTCGTACGCCCTGATATAAATTAGGATCAAGCTGGTTGGGAAAGAAAAGTTTCCTCACATTTAAGCTTACTTCAGCGTGCAAGCAAATTACGTTTAGAACATAAACCTATATCACATGACTTGTAGAGTCAGTGACAGAAGCACTAACTTGAACAAAGAATACGGGAAGGTTAGAAAGAGCGAGCAGGGTTTCAAAAGTGGAAAATAATTCATTTCACTTCAAGAATCTACATTCGCAAATGTCTCAATAGTACCCTTTTTTTAACACAACATGAGCAGTCATTTCTGCTACTTTACCTGTACGACGATTCCGTTCAGAAATGGTCTAATGTTGGTGGTTGAATGTTGGCATAAAGACTGTCTCATGTTAGTGCGTGCAACCCGTCCCAGAAAAATATATAAAGTAAATAATGAAACAAAGAAATAGGGTAAGAGGAAACATGCCTATCATACTTTATTTTCTCCTACTTTGTGCTGCTTCTGTCGTTTATCATTAGGGCTTCTTTGTATGCCTACCTTCAAATACCTAAAATTAATCTGCATTGCAACAGCACAGCTACCTTCTACGAAAGATACAGCGCCCTGAATGCTGTTCAGTTGAGCCTTCATGACGAAAAGTTTTAAAACCAATGATCTTACGCTTGACGCTACAGAAGCGATATACACAGATCAACTAGAGCCCGCTGTCAGGCACACAAGAAGAGATGGTAGATCGTACGACCACTTCTTTTCGATACCTGGCAGCCCCGCGTGCGAATAAAATATGCTAAGTGTCAAGCTGAGGTGAGAGCTGCGTACCAGGTATGACGACGCGTGCAGGTGTATTCAGAGTAATGTCTTGAGGACACGGCAAGCTGAAATGGAGACACGTAGGCGTGCATTCTGCAGAAAATGGTGTGGATGTCAGTTTTTTCTATACATGCTTATATCACTACTTCATCATCATTACCAGGCAGTTCACAGAATATATTTAGCTACCTAAAATAACAAGTGAAATAATAAGGCACATACACCCAAAAATCGGGAGGTATGTGTTATGTCTGTAGTTACGCGCTAAGGAAATGAAGTACGAGGCCTAGGCGGCCAATGAAGTAGAAGAGTTCGTCCTTGCTAAGCAGATCCAGCTGACGGGACCTTTATATGTGTTCGAAATCGACATTGGAACATTGATAACTTTCTAATTTGCCAGCCTATGGACGCTGATAATAGATAATCCTATGTTATACCCGGAAGACACTGTACCAAAACGGCGGTTTCTCGCAGGTTACGTACAGAAGGACAATACTGTTGGAAA